TTCGAAGCACTGAAGAGGGACCTTCCCCTACATGGTACCCTCTAGATGTGTTGGACTGAGGGAATGCGTGGACACTGTAATAGTGACTCTACCTTTGTTTTGTGGACTGCCAGGCACCTTCATTCCATCATCTGCTTACTGATGGATTCAGATTTTGCACACATCTGTTTCTATGTTTGCTCAAGTTCACAGCTGTGCAAACTCCTGAAAATGTGCACCTCTCTCCCCAAATACATGTCTTTTTGCACATTTTAGCCTATGAGATAATCATGCATTTTTTATTGATCTTTTTGTTATACATATTTTAGGCAAATACTATATTTGCTTAAAATTATGTAATTTTTTTTTAAATTCTGCAAGTCCATGGAATCCAGTCAGCACAAAAATCCACAGGGGGGATTCTTAGAAAATGGAGTTCATTTGAAGGCATTGCAATTCCTCTGACATCCCTAGCTGGACTACAACCCCCATTATTCCCACCGCTGTCTGTGTTAGTTGGGGAAGACATCCAGCACATCTGCAGGGCCCCGTCTGGGGAAAGCCACTGTGGACAAAACTGAGCGAGTTGGGCAAGTGCCCTGACTCAGCACAAGGCAGCCTCCAGCAATTCTCACCCAAGCCTGACAGAGGCATGCGCCGGAAGAGACACTTAGTTCGAGAAGCATCCAGTTCCTTCTATTATGACTCCCACTATCTTTGCATGTGTTGTTCATGCAGGCACGTTGCTTATTCGGCTGGGGAATGGACCAAAGGAAAAAGAAGCAGAATGCAAAGTTTGTTTAGTGAACAGTAGAAAAAATGAAGGGTTAAAATACAGAATTAAAATAGGTTCAATCCGATTATAGCAAAAATAATTCTGAGACTGGTCATTCAGGAAGGCTGGTTCAAGCCAAACTATCTTCAGCAAATACCAAAACAATGTGAGGTCAGTGCTTCTCCAGCATCAACAAGTTGGGGGCGGGGGGCTAGAAAGAAGGCCAAAATGCGCTGAAGCCCCTGCCCCAGGTATTTTCCAAATGGGCTCCATTCTGTGTGGAAACACCAGAAGCACCGCAAGAGCTGACTGCAGTAACTTGGCAGGCTGATAAGGCAGGAGGCCTCCTGCATATATCCTGGTCCAAAATGCATCTTCGCACATGGGCAACCTTTCAGTGTCGCTACTGCAAAATTTCCTCTTGTCATCCTGTTACCTCAGGTTGGTTAGCGATGCATCAAATCATCATTGCCATACTAAATGCCCAGATAGCCAATAAGGTGATCAAAGGAGCAATAGATTATTATCCTTTTTACAGGTTATTTATTGGAAGATTTAAAATTTAACAAATGCTACAGAACAGTAAGAGACATTTCTTAGAAGACTTAAGTGTACTGTATTTGCACTTTGTTTTCTGAAAGTGAATGGGGCCAGGTTTTGCAAGGCTCAGAGCTGCCTTTGGTTGGATCCCTCTTCTTCCTTCCAGGGAATACCGCAGCCAGCTGTGGCAAGGATGTCGAATTAGGCACGCACATTTTCCTCACAGGGCCAAGATGGCAGGGTGCCGTGCAAATGATTGCACAGAACAGGCAACATCATTTTATAACTCTGACGCTAAAGACTGGCCCTACCAATTAAAACAAAGCATAAGTCAGCTAGTGTTGCAGCAATTACAATTACAAGCAAGAAAGCAAGATCAGAATCCAGCGCTTAAGTCTGTGCATTTGCTGCGGTGCTGCTGCCCCCACAAATGAAAGAAGTAGAACAGTACGTGTGTGAGAAGTCCATATAAACTTGAAATCCACTTGAACTTGAGGCCTGCATATCTGATTGCCTTTCTGCCTTCAAGCACTTAACGAAAACCAATGTAATTTCATCTTCATTTAGTGTCAGAGCCAGTTGGTCTGTTTTTCCAGTCCTAATATGGAACAGAAACGCTCTCCTTCATGCACAGAAGCACAATGTTTGTGCAAAAGAGGCAAGGATGAAGCAGAAAACACCTAAGGAATGACCGTGATCGCATTCAGGACCTAACACCCCTGCCCACATCCCCTTTCAAACTATGCAACTAGCCAGCCCCCAAGGTTTTGGTGTCAGCTTAGAATGCAAGGCATTTCTGAAGACTGAATGGCCTTTGTTCTTTTAGAGGAGGCAGGGAATCTGGTCTTCCCAAACCATATGAAGTGATCAGCACTGCGCTAGGTCAGAGAGCAACCATGTGGTTAAGACAACCTAAACGAAGGAATTGTGATCCGGGGTGCATGACCCCTTCATATCGCTTTTAACAGCCCGACTAGGGATGGCTCTCATGTGAGAAGATGTGGGAAGCTGTCCTTACAGCATCGCTCGTCCTGCAGCCGTTGCCCAACCACAGAGAGAGTCACTCACGCAGCACTGGACACTCCTGGATGGTTGCAAGAGTCCAGACCAAGACTGCAAGCCATGCTGTCGGTAGGTCTGAAGCGTTGCACCTCCTCTGTGGCGCTGCCGCTACATGGACACTTTTCCCATGACGTCCTGAGAGGGACACGCGTGGGCTGCAAGCGATGTGATTAGAGAATTGCCCTGTGGCTTGTTTGGGCTCCATTTCTTTCTATCATTATTTTTAAAATCATGTCAACCCTTGTAAGTAGTTTAGAATACATAATGCTTACATTCAAGCTGGCATTAATTTCTGACAAATGCAGACTGAAGCTTTAATGACAAACCACTAAAAGACAAGCCTTTTTTAAACCAAAAGCCCATTAGAGAGATTAACATTATGGCTCTAGAAAAGCAGCTATTTTCAATTATTACAGGACAATTCTGGGTCTACTCAGACATAAGCCTCATTGAAATGCATGGTACCTACTTCCAGGTAAGTGGATAAAGGACTGAATTCAGAGGGACTGCCTTCTGAGCAGGCATGTTTAGGGTTGTATTGGTAGCTACTGAATTAACCATTCATTTGGAAGCTTTTTGAGGAATCTTGTTGGTCTGTGTTCTCATTTCTTCTTAATTTATCTGTTTTTGTTGTGATAGGTCAACAAAACAAGCTGTTTTGAACAGTGTATTTTAGCAGTCAACATAGTCATAGTTTTGCATCGAAACCATTAAAGATGTCACTATATGAAGCATTATGCTGGTACAAGAGATATTAGTGAGAGAGATATGGAGGTAGGCAAGCAGATACTTTGACAGCAGGCCATTCTTTAATATAGGAAATGCTTCATACTGTGAGCCATAATAGTGAATTTTGGCTCTAGAAGAGCTGCAGAACTCATGAATGTAATTTTATGATGGTGCCATCACATGTATTTGAATTCTGATAACCCCGGTTTGGCAATTCATGGCTGTCACTCTCACCCCACCCCAGCCAGTTTGAATAAATGGATGTTTGCTGCACAGAAATGAAATCTGCGGGTATTTATGTTGTTCAATGACCTGAAACCCAATAGGCTGAAGGATGGGGGTGACATCCTTAAACCTTTTTTAATAAGCACATGAGCACTGCAGCAAAATTAGTTTGCATTTTAATTGTTGCTGGATAAATCAGTGCCCTTGGAATGCCCTTGAGAGGGCAACTGCTTGGTGATAAGAGTGAACCTGTGGCTTTGAGATTGCACAGAGCCCTCACTGGGGTTCGCTTTAGCTCCTGAACTCAGCAAATCATTAACTGCCTTTCCCACACCCGCTCATGAAAAATGGCCTCTGGCACTTCTCAGCTGCTCTTGCTGAAGTTTGTGCCGCTCTTTGCCTCAAGTTGTTCTTCAGTCTCTTTGAGACTCTTGTATCTGCTTCCCTTTTTCCTCTTATGCTTAGCAAAAGCATCTTTCCTCCAGATCCTAAATGCATAATAATGTTTTACTCATGCTTTTTGCATTTTATCTTGTACAAATCCTTAAGCCCTTGGAAATGCCATTGCTCAGCTTTGATTCCTTTCAGCCCAATTTTGCTTCAGAGCAAACCCTCGCCCGCTGACAGACCGGAGCTGTACCGGTGCTACACACGCAGGTTGGGCGCAAGTTTACAGGCGAGGCTGTGCATTGCACTGGCTGCAAACTGCGTCCTTTTCAGCCCCCTCCCACACCAACAAGGGGCGTTGCATGAGAGGCGGAATATAGGAACAGAGTGAGTCAGAACGGGCCACCTGGGCATCTAGTCCGACCCCTGGTTCCAGTCGGCTCCGACGACCATGTGCATGTCCAGCCTATCCTTGAACACCCTCACCAATGTACTTCCTGGCATCCAAATTAAGCCTTGGTTCCCTGAGCTTTGTTCCTTTGGAGCGCATCCTGCCCTCCTCTGCAGGGGAGAACAGATCTCTCCCTGCGTGTGAGACCCCCTTCACATAACTATACGTCACTAACAGGTCCCGTCTGAGTCTCCCCTTCTCCAGGCTGAAGAGACCCAGTTCCCTCAGTCTCGCCTCATACGGCTTTCCCCGCAATCCAGCCACCATCCTTCTGGCCCTACGCTGCACCAATTTCAACCTGGCAATATCCTTCCTGTAATGTGGAGCCCAGAAGTGAACACAATACTCCAGTTGCGGGCACACCAGAGTAGTATAGAGTGGCAGCAATACCTCTCTTGATCTAGAAGTCACACTTCTGGCTATGCTACCAAGGGTAGTGTTTGCCCTCTTGACTGCCACGTCACACGGCTGAATGGACAATCCTATTGGCCCATCAGAGCAAAGCGGGTTCCCTGGGCAAAGTTGCTTTTTTGCTGTCCACATGTTGAGGGAAGCAATCGATGCAAAGATGAGACAAAGGTCAGCCAATGCACCCCTTCAAGCTCTGGCAATCAAGGATATTGTGTGCATGACAGTAACTGAGGAGGCACATGCCCTCCAAATCTGCCCTGACGGGTTCTCTAAGCCTTTGGAGAAAATCTGGACACTGCAGAGGAGTCCTGTTCTGAAGTCCTGTTCTAGCAGCGCTGTTCTTCCAGGGACAGAGTGAAGGATCTGGAAGCAACACCTTATTGACTATGAAATCATGACTCGAACTATGTTTTGAGAAAAGGTAAACTGTTTATTCAACGGGATGAGTCCACACCCAAACCAGTGGTTTGATCTACATGGCATCATCAGCATACATAACACAGGATCCAATCAGACACTCTAACTGAATGGCATTTTATCATACATTACAGAGACAATATCCATAAGAGGGACAATAGTCATTATACAGGGCAGCCAACCAGCAGTTTCCTAAAGTTTTCTGGCAAGAACAAAAAGCAGCCACTCAGGAAGAAAAGTGGATTCAGGAGACCTATTGCCATACTGTGAAAACTGCAGCACTGCTAGGAAATTATATAGTCCAGGATTTTAAAAAAAAGTAAAAGAAAAAAACACAGGTATTATTTATTCTATAAGAGGAAAAGTGCATGGCCGTTATATAGTTAAAGGGTCTTAAACATTTATATTGTTTGCTTATGACAATTTCTGTACAGCAATAACATAAGGGTGGGTGCAACGCTTTTAAAGTCAGCACCGTTACAGTCATCACTTGGTTGAATAAAAGGAGTACCTTAACCAGGTGACAGGGTACAAGAAGAGGCTACAACATTTACAGTCAACCTTCTCTGGGTGTTGCTGAAGTAGCTTTGGTGAGCAGGAACATTCCAATTTTAAGGGGAAGATAAAGGTCAGTCCTATAAGATTTCACTTGCACTGCATTGGAGAAAATCTTTTTTTTCTCCTTTTCAATGTAGTGTCCACTACTACTACTGAGGCTTGAAAACTCTATCTTCATGGGCTAATAATGAACAAGGGACACTTTAGTGTTTGAAGCTTTCTTTTAATTTGCTACCTATGACAATTTAAAAATTTTAATAGGCTATGCCTGGCATTTTCTTTAACCAACCTGGGTGTTAGAAATGCCACAGTGCCCAACTTCATTCTGGCACCACCTTCATGAATTACGTATGTCCTGATATTGGTCTAAGACCATTCTAACACAGTTACGCCTATTACTGATCTAGTAATTAATATCAACAGGGACAAAACAGAATTGGCACAGTGCACAAGAGACTATTGTTTTCTTTCCACCCTTTGCCCTCTAAAAGTAGACTATCACACCCACCCACTGTTTCGCTTCACATTTGCTACTTTTATGGATTTTAAATTGTCCCTTGAAATCCTTGTGCTGGGCCAAGCCCATGCCCAGTTGTGCCTGAGAATACAGAAACAAACATTTCAAGAATTTCTCTTGCATGAGATACCCAGGAAATGGTTCTTTTGCAAAAAGAAATGAAAACAGAAGAAGTCACCGGTAGATTTGCACCCAGTGCCCACACAACTGACATACAGGAGCCTTTCACAACCTGGTGTCCTCCCAGATGTGTTGGACTACAACTCACATCATTCTCAGGAAGCATGTGGAAGGCTGTTCTACAGCAGATATTGAAAGTGTTTTGATGTAATTCTACAAACAAATCCAGCAGATGATCTTCTACAGATCTTAGTAGTCATTGGCCATTTCACAACATTGCATTATGGGGATAACTACTCTTTGAAATGTAAATACATTTCTTCCTCGTACAATAAAATGGGGAAACAGCTTTAAAGCAATATACCCATAGCATAACATTAACGGGATAAGAGATATCTTGATATGTCCAGCTCCCAAGCACATTTTATCCAAGCGTTTGTTCCGGTGCTCAAAAGGCACTTAAAGATTAAAAAATAATAATAAGCACAATCCATTACAATAGATGAAAAAATAGAAATAAAAATAATTTAATAAAAAAGGCATTTGGAATTGTATCATATCATTAAGAAAAGCAACCCCTCACATGAAATAATGGTTATGCCATCAAGTCATTTTCAAAAGTATGTTTAAAAAACACACACGCACACACTGTCAAAGCAACTGTTCTCCATGAACTAAAGTGGGGAAAACATTACTGGCAATGAAAGTACAACAGTTTGCCAAATACCTCTTGCTTTCCCTGCCTCCCCCACACCTAAAACTACATTTTCCAGCTCATTACTGCAGCAAGTCTGCTCTCATAATGACCCCTCTCCAAAGTTAGAATAAGTAAGGGGAGAATCAGGGTGGCAGGAAAGTGTGAGAAGAACTCGGGAGATTAAGAGAAGTTCTTTAAGGAAAAACACTACTTTTGACAAATTGTGGCAATTACAAATGCCTACAACATGAGCAGACATGTAAGTAAACATGGATTCTCTTTGTAACATTATACTGAAGAATAACAGAATAACTAGATATATCATTTTCCCTCCATACTATACATGAGAAGGTCAGGCCTGTTTTGGGATCAGGGAAGCTGCTTTCATTTTTTAAACCTTTGTTGCATTTTTATTTTTTTCTTACGCTGAGTTACCTATTAAGTGCAAAGATTTGGTGTCACTGGGTTTCAGCTAAAATTTAGTCTTAAAAAAAGAACAGATTACATTTCAGCAGTTACTTTCCAGCATTTAAGCAGATACAGCAATATATAAACAGGCTAGAAGAAGCAAGGGGCAGTTAAGAGAAGGGAAGGTACCTGGAATGCAGCATGCTTGCAGATGAGGTATACAAAAGGAAGAAGCACACCATGATGGCGCTCTGTTCATAGAAAAAAATTAAGCACACCAATGGGATTAGGAATGCATTTAACAAATACAGAAGGATAATGGCAAATTGTGAATGGCCTGGCCATTCTCTCCAAGACATGCTTGATGACTTGGCCAATTTCGGCTGAGTTAGACTAAAGAAAGCCAACTCAACAGCATGTGGTGCTGAAAGGCAACAGATGCTATTAAAGTTCTTGGAAAATGTTTGCCTTGTTTCAAGTAATGGCTACTGCAAAATTAATTCTAGAGAGATCAAGGAAGAGAGAGAACGTACAGACTAAACCAGGTGTGCAGCATGAATGAGATTTGTGGAGAGGCATTCCATGTAGAAAGTGAAGGATCAGTGGTGTTTAAAGTAAAAATGCTAGCCCAGTCAAAGGGCTGATGCTGCAAAGGTCTGTCCACATTTACAGGCAAAAATTAAAACAAAGATAGCAGCAAGAGACTTGAGTTCAGTGAATAGAGAAGGCTTAACGATCATGCAAACCCTAGCTCTTTCTGCATATTTTTCCCTAGGTTAAATTTAAGAGAGAACGAAAGTTCATAAACGCCAAACTGCTGTATATTGTTATATAGTACAGTATAGAAAGTGCAAATTGTCACCCCACCAGATCAGTTATATGCCTGGCAAGGTCAAATATGGCTCATGCTATGCATGCAAGGGGACACAGACTGAGTCGAGGCCCTCGTCTACGGCTGAATAATTTCAAAGGGAATGTGATTTTTACCCAAAGCGTTCTTGCCTGTTTTAATCCATATTCTTCCCATAGGAATCATTAGCAAAAGGAGGACAGGGGAATAAAATATTTAAAACACTATATAAGTTAGCCTATTTATTTATTGTTATCAACCACAGATTACTTCAGAGTCCTCTTCTGTTTTGAAAACAGTAGGAGTTCAGTTTCTTTTGTACACACATAACACTGTGCTACAATATGAAGTACATACAGAAAATCCTAGGTTTCCCCTCACACAAGGGGAAAGTGTACTACTTGCAATTCTTTTTGTCCACAGGTGGTTTACTCTTCCAACCAGGAAATGACCACAAGCTTCCATGTTTCGATGGAACAGTCTTTAAGAGATGAACATGAAGACAAAACTCCATCCTTCTAGTAGGATAGACGTGAGCATCAGATGCACTCCAGTATTTGCAGGACAACTGTTGAACTGAACCAATGTTGTTTTCTTTTGTTTGCAACTCTAAAGCCAAGCCAAACTAGTGTGAAAATTCAATTCAAGAATTGACCAATAGTCTATTGCTTAATGCACAGTTGCCGTGTAATTCACGCACGCGCACACACACAAAAACACTCTCTAGCATAAGTCTAAGGGTGGGTTTCTGAGGTAAATCTACTAAAATGTTACTGGGCTATGTACAGTTTCATATATATACTTCTACACAGACTTGAATGTTCCAGTGGTGATACATAAAATGGCCACCTTATTTGGCTGTACCAAATTTTTCCAGCAATCTCAATAAGAATGGTGAGTAAATATCATGAAATCCTTAAGCCACATCTACAGTCCCCAGCGCCATCGCTTCTAAAGAGTCATGCTCCCTGTCTTTTCCTTTACTTAATGACATCATTTGTACAATCATAGCTTCAGCCTCAAAAGAAATGAAAATCAGAATGGGCACCCATTTCCCCAACAAAGATTCCCTGGGGATGGTGATAGCTACATAGTGCCAGATTTATCGGAGGCACTGTTAGGGAAGATCTTCTCCGTTGGTGTCACGGCAGGACTCCCCATTCCCGAGCTGCTACTGCTACTTGATCGATGCTGGACGACTGGCCTGATGGGTCTCATGGGTGGGGGCCTCAGCTGAGCTCCAGCAAGCCGAGCGGAGAGGGCAGGCTTAAAAGTAGTCATCATTTCCGTGGTTGAGCTGCTGCTACGCCGCATGGCAGCATCAGGGTCTCGAATCATGATGGTGTGCAGGGGGCTGGCAGGCTCAGAGTTGACCGATGCTATCTGAGGGTTCTTCATGGGTTCAAGAGTGTCCAGGACAACATCAGGGGCTTGTTTCACAGTATTTTGCCTTTCCAGTTCACGCAACTCATTCAGTGCCGTGCTCATAGTCTTTTCAATATCCTGCAACCACAAGCAGAAAAAGAGGTTACCGCCCTTACATTAGGTGACCAAGACTTCACAACCCATTTCTTAGGGTCATTTTGCACATTACCATAAGCCACCCTGTGTACTCACTAACCCACACTCTGAGGCTTGCGGCGGCTTGTTTTCCCCCTTGGTCCTCTTGCCCACTCCAGACAAGTGTCCTGTGGGGCTTTTCAAGGCAGTCTCAGCAATGTTCTTTGCTACTCTGCTAATGAGCAATAATGTAGGAAAAAAGCTTACTTTGTAGATTCCTTTCGCCTTTGCAGAGATTGGTGCATATTTGACCTGGGTGGCGCAGGCACCTTCAGGACAATTTGCACATATTCAACATTTTCTCCACTTTTGGAGAGATTTGCACACCTTTGATAAAGTGCAGCAACGCTGCACAAATCTCCCCAGAAGTTTTAAAAAATCAATGCAGTTAAATTTCAGAAAGTTTAAAAAAAACCACATTTCCTGAAGGCATCCCTCCTTCACATTACATTTGTGCAAGGTCAAAAATAAAGAGGTGCCACTGTCTAGGGATGAGACAAAGTGAAGGAGTAAAGTGACTCACCTACTGGAGCAGGTGTTGCCCTCTCTGTTAATGAGTCATGGAGTCCAACAGGCTTGATCATCTAAAGTGTGGAGACTCCTCCACAGAAGCCCTACGGGTGAAAATTCCTGGCTCCAAAACAAACTTAGTAATAGGAGTATGCTACTATCCTCTCAGGGCAATCCTGAGATGGGGAATGAGATCAGGGAGCCCTCCAACAAAGGCAGTTGTGTAATAATGGGAGACTTCAATTACCTACACATTGATTGGAAAAATGTATCTTCCAGTTCAGGCAGAGAGGTTAAATTTCTTGATGTCCTAAATGACTGTGCCCTAGAGCAGTTGGTCATGGAACCTACCAAAGGGAAGGAAATCCATTTAGTCCTAGATGGATGTAGTCCTAGTACAGGGTGTAAATGCCATTGAGCAATAGGAAACAGTAACCACAATGGTATCAGATTTCATATAAGGCAGAAGACTGGTAAAGAGTTTAAGCACAGTTGTGATTGACCTCAGAAGAGAAAACTTACCAAAAATAAGGGAACTGGTAAAGAAGATACTGAGGAAGGAATCAAGAACTTTAAATTGCTTCTAAGTGCTTGGAGATCACTCAAAAAGGCACAGATCAAGTGCATATCGCAAGTAAGAAAAGATAGCACAAAGTCCAAGAAATCGCCAGTGCATAGAGTCAAGGAAGCTACTGGGGAGAAGAAAGCCTCCTTCAAAAAGTGGAAGTCTTACCCAACTGAAGAAAACAAAACAAAAAACCAAAAGGGACCACAAGTCCATGCAAGGGAAATGCAGGCAGACAACCAGAGAAGCAAGGAAAGAGAATGAGGAATACATCATTAACAACATCAAAGCCATCAATACATAATTCTTTAAATATATCAGAAGAAAGCAAGCAACTAAAGAAGTAGTTGGATCATTGGACAATAATGGAATTTAAGGAGCACTGGGGGCGGGGGGGATGAGAAGATTGCAGAGAAGCTGAATGCATTCATCGGTCTCCATAGCAGAGGATACAGAGTAGATATCTGTTTCTGAGCATAGGTGTTCTGGGTTGAGGCAGATAGTAGTGACAAAAGATGAAATTCTCAACCTTATTGCCAAACCGAAAGTCTGCAAATCACGGGGTCCAGAACTCTTCATCCTAGATTATCAAAAAACTAAAACATGAAAATGCTGACCTTCTTACCAAAATATTTAATATGAGGGGTCTTCAAAACGTATCTGCACTTTTATATTTTATAAATATATTTTATATATTTTTTGCTGATGGCATTAAAAAGTTGGTACAATGCTGGGAAAAATGCATCGCAATGGAAGGTGACTATGTAGAAAAGTGATGTAATTTGTTTTTGAAATTCTTAACAAATAGAGTTTTAAAAAGTGCAGAAACTTTTTGAAGAACCTTTGTATGTTCCTAAAATCACCCTTTGTACCAGAGGCCTGGAGAATGATTAATGTAGCACCAATTTTTAAAAAGAGATCCATGAGGATCTAGGAAATTACAGGACAATTAGCTTAACATCCATTCCGGATAAACTGCTTTAAAACATCATTAATGATAGAATCAGTAAGCACATAGAGGGACAAGCACTGTTGAAAAAAAAAAATCAGCATGGCTTCTGCAGTGGGAAGTCTTCTCTCAATGTCCTATTGTGACGGTAATAAACACGTGTAAGTTCTTTGTGAGTGTAATAAACATGTAGACAGCAGTGATCCAGTAGATGTTGCTTACTTGAACATCCAGAAGGCTTTTGACAAAGTCCTTCATCAAGGATCCTCAGCAAACTAAGCAGTCCTGGAATAAAGCGAGGGGCAGGGGCTCTTCTGGATCACAAACTGGTTAAAGTACAGAAGACAGAGGGTGGGAATAAATGGAAATTTCTCCCAGTGGGCAGATGTAATTGACTGAATCCCACAGGGTTCTGTATTATGAACAATGTTTTTCAACCTATTCATAATTTAAGCAGTAAACAGTGAGTAGTCAAGTTTGCTAATGACATGAAACAATTTAGGGTGGTTAAAGACAAAAGGGATTGTGAGGATCTCCAAAGGGATCTTTCTAAGCTGGGAGAATGGGCATCAAAATGGCAAATGCTATTCAGTTGAAGCAAGGAAGAGAAATGCATCTGGGGGCAAAGAATCCTAACTTAATGGCTGATGGGATCTGAGCTGGCGGGGACTGAACAAGAAAGGGATCTTGGGGTAGTGATGGACAGCACAAGGAAAGTGTGAGCCCAGCACTCAGCTCCTGTGAAGAAGGCAAACTCTATGCTAGGCATAATTAGGAAGGGAATAGAATTCCAAGATCTTCCTCTCCTTATACAATTATTTGGTACAAACACACTTAGAAAGTTGTGTTCAGTTTTGCTCACCTTACCTGAAAAAGGACATTGAGTTGGAAAAAATACAGAGAAGGCCAATGAAAACAGTCTCAACTCCCCTGTGAGAAGCAGCTATAACAACTGGTTTTGTTCAACTTAGAAAAAGGTGAGTAAGGGGAGACATGAGAGAGATGTGTAAAGTAATGCATGTTGTGGAGAATGCAAAGAGGGAGACATACTGGGTTATGCAAGCCAGGGCAGAGTGTCCCTTCTTTGCCTGCTCTAATCAAAGAGCTGATTTGGATGACACAAGGTGATTACTGAGCCACAGTATCTTGCTAACCACACCTATGTGTGCTGGTTACTTGATTTCCCTAATTACTCACACCAAGCACAGGCTGTTGTGATGTCTGAACCTGGGGGTGGGGCAGGGCCAGACACAGGCTGGCGGTTGCAGTGTCAGGTTGTGAGATGGTTTGTTAACCTCCACAACCCCCTACCCTCTCCTAGTTTCAACCATACAACAACCTGCATCTGCAAGGATAATTTTGCCAAGTTAACTGTTTGTGCGTCCTCTTTATATGGTACAGGGGTTAAGAGAGTAGGACTGAGACTCGGGAGAACTGAGTTCTAGTCCCCAATCGGCAGGGATCCAACTGGGTGACTTTGGGCCAGTCACAGACTCTCAGCCCAACCTACCCCACAGAGCTGTTGTTGTGGGGAAAAGACTGAAAGCAGGAGGAATTGTAAGCCATTTTTGTGTTCTTTAAAGGCAGAATATAAATCTATTAAATAAATGAATAAGAATATGATGCGAATCCTACTTCATTCATGCTGATGGCAGGATGGCAGCACAAGACAATAGAAAAGCACCAAGGGGCACTGCCAGTCAGTGCCAAACAATGCTGAACTAGATGGACCATGGGGAGGATCAGCCCAAGGTAGCTTCCTTCCTTCCTGACAGCATAAACAGGAGAGAGAAAACAGGTACTATTTTTTCCATTATAATAGCTAGTATCCTGCCATTTTAGAAAAATAGCATTATCAGTAAAAAAAATATAGAGGAAGCATTTCGCTACCCTTTTATCTAAGTCCCTGATGCTGGTACCACAACAACCTGCTTGGCAAGTACACAGTTTTTGCTCCTCTGTTAGAAAGCAAACCTGAAAGGTACATTTTGTCATAACGATGAGACTCAAACTTGAAAAGTAAAAGCATTTTGACAGCTATCTATGAATAATGTATTTGATCTGCTTCAACATATAACACTGAGCTATGTATACTCTATTGTCAACAGCAGCAGCAGCAAAACAGAGGCTTGATTTTCTGATTGCTTTACTGAAAGGGAATACTTTAGTGTATATATATGTGTGTGTCCATGGCTATAAGCACTGGCATTCTATGGAGAAACAAGAATGATCAGAAGTGATTGAACATATTTACAAGAAAGAAATTAGAAAACGGTAGAGCATGCCTTAAAAATCCATAGCACTGTGTTTTAATGAAACCTATTTCAATTCCTAGTCCCATAATGTAATTTGAATAAAAGCCACAATCTCACATTCCATAAAGTGTTGAGAAAATTCTTTGCTGAACTGGTGTTTATAGTAGCCTCACAGCACAATCATAAACATGGAGGTAACCCCCCATTTATTCATTCAATGCATTTCTGTCTGACTCTTAGGCCATAATACTCCCCAAGCACCTTAGAGGACTCAACATTCGGGCAGTAGCTGTCTTCAAGCTCAGAAAAGAAAAAGACAGGAGAAGCAAAGCAGGGGATTTGGCGTGAGATCAGAAGAAGCTTGCTGGCAATGCTTCATTCAGTTGCCAAGGTGGATGAGCTTGTATCAAGACCTACTGCGAGATATGCTAAAGACTATAGAATGTGGGGCTTTTATAAAGATTTAACAGCATTTGATCAGGTGATGCTTAAATCAGATGAGAAAATGATTAAAAGACTATATAATTTCTTACTAGATAGGAGAATGGAAGATGAACAGGTTAAGGAAACTATGATAATGTGGGCACAAAACTTTGGATATAATATTGAATTAGAAAAATGGCAAAAGCTGTGGGATAGAAATATTAAGGTAACATTAGCAACTTCATATAAAGAAAACCTGTATAAAATGTTTTATAGATGGTATCTGTCGCCAAATAGATTAGCTGTTTCCAAATATGTCAAATGGATGTTGGAAATGTAAACATAAATTGGATACTTTCTATCATATATGGTGGACTTGTTGGATTAAAATACATAAATGGATTGAGGAAATGTTACAAAAATCCTTAGTTTTTAAACCTGAAGTTTTCTTATTAGGCATTATACCTGTTGATATTAGTAAACAAGAAATGTACTTGATTTTACATGTAATTACTGCAGCGAGGATTGCATTTGCTCAATATTGGAAAAGTGAAGAACCACCCACCGATGAACTGATCCTAAAAAAGATCTTGGACTGTGCAGAAATGGATAGATTGACTTTGTCATTGAAGAAGAAAGAAGATACTGATTTCTATCAAACTTGGGACTCTTTTTATTATTGGCTAGAGAAACGGGACTTCGTATAGATTTAAATATGTTTTTAAGTTATCATAAATAGAAAAAAATGTGGGGTCTGACCCAGCAGGTCTGATGTTTCTGATGACTAATGTTGTTTTTAGTTTTCCTTTGTTTTAGGGTTATTTTGAATAAAACGTATTATAAAAAAAAAAGACCTACTGTTCCTAATTATTAATGTGGCTGCTGCATTTTGCACAAGCTGCAACTTCTGAACAGACTTCAAGGGCAGCCCCACATAGACAGCATTGCAGTAACCTAGTTTAGAGATTACCAGGGGGTAGATTACTTTCCAGATAGTGGCATAACTGAGACACTAGCCCAAAGCTGGTAAAAGGTGGTCACCTGAGCAAGACGAAGATGGCTCAAGAAGGACCACCAAGATAGAGACCTGCTCCTTCAAGGGGAGTGCAACCCCACCCAGAACCAGTTAAGCACCCTCCATCCAGTTGGAGGAACCACCCAGTAACATCATCACAGTTTTAGATGAATGCAGCTTGGTTTGGCACCCCTTATCCACTCCACTGTCACAGGCAGGCACTAATTCAGCTCCTCCACAGTCCCACCTGCCAAAGATGAAGCCTACCTGTATTTCATCAGCATACTCAGGGCAATGCATTCCAAAACTCCAGATAACTCTATTCAGCAGTTTAATGCAGACATTTCATAGCATGTGAGATAAGACCAGTGCTTTTTTTGCCATAGAATGCACTGGAATGGCATTCCGGTACCTTTTTTCAACAGATTTTCCAAGTTTTAAAAGTAACTTTTGAAAATTTGATGTTTGGTCCACATGGATTTGAATCGCCCTGTTGAGCATAGCAGGTTGGTGGCAAAATCATTAAATCCATGCATGAGGGCTGCTTGTGTGTCAAGTCTGATGCATGCGTACTTCGTCTGCGCTGGCTGTGATGGCGCTGCTCAGCTTGTGGCGCTGCTCGGCTTGTGATTGGTTGTGTGGTCGCACGCTGAGTGCTTACTGCAGGCGGCGACCGTTGTGTTTCGCTACACAACTGACATGTGTGGGTGTGTGTCCAGTGATTGACTACGTGCGAAAGGTAAATAATTTCATGAGTTCCAGCACCCTTTTCTTACCAAAAAAAAAAGCACTGGATAAGACCAACCCCTGTTCCTGCACCACTAGTGGAGATGAAGCAGACTGCTTGCTGGGACTGCAGGGGCAGTTGCTGGCTTCAGCTCTCCTTTCCCTTGGTGACCTGATGCGCCTTCCCTGCAATTCCCGTGGAGCAGAGGATCGAAAAAGCCAGGGAAGGCCTCACCCACTACCGTGCTTGTCCCACTTGCATCAGGGCAGGGGCCATGCCTTTCCCCCACCCATGTGTGCAGGAAGGCACGAAGCTGCCCACCCTCACTCTAAACAGACAGCAGCCCAGATCCAGGAGTTCTGAACTACTCAGAGATGTTTTCTCTGATGGCTTTTGCGCCCACACTTGGAGGTAGCAGCTGACTCAAAAAATGACTAGTTCCTCATAATAACAATTTGCAGAGCATCACAAAAGGGCCTCCATTAGTATGTAACAATATCATAATATTTTATCTGGTTTACTGCTGAGCAAATTAAACATTAAACAAAAACGGAAAGGCGATTTGAATGAAAGCCAAGTCCCTCTTTCCCTTCTGGAGCGATGCTTGGATAAAGACATTGAATCCACTGCAATGCAAGCAACTGGTGTCTAAAAATTAAGTACCACCACCCATTTGGGTTACTATGGTGAAAACTACCACAGGAACAGGCAAGCAAGCAAGCAAAGTGACAACATAATCAATCAATCAATCTACAGCCCACACAGAAAAGGTTGAAAGGTGTCAAAAGCCAATAAGGGTTGGATTGAAAGTAAACAGCTCCACCAACCTTTGAGCTTTGCGCAGCAAAAAGTAAAGAGAGGCTCAGCCAGAAGTTCAGTGAAACACGTCTGTCTGTTGAGTCTTTAAAGGCTGCTTGCTGGCACAGTTACTTGCTGTTTCTGTTTTTAACAAATTGCTTCATCTCTCAACAACTGCATACTCTTTGTTATCGTTTAACCTCCTGCTTGCTAGGTGCAAATCAGCAATCTCTTCACATACAGCAAACTTTTTTCTAATTGGTGCCAATCAGAGTTATTGTTTTATTTGCCCAGGGCTCAAAACTGTGCAGGGGAGGTGAACTTTGGTCAGGACCAGAGCTAGGCCTTGGGACCCTAAGCCTCCCTTCTTCATAAGCAGTGGTCTCTCCACAAATTGTCCCCCAGGCTGTGCCTCTATTTTTTAAAATATGCTTTTGCTTACCATACACTAGCATCTGATTAAAGCCAAAATATACAAAAAATTAGCCCTGCCCTTCTTAGTTTATTATCAGCTACTTGAAATGTATGTACACATCTCATTTTGCAGCCAAAATGGGCTCTCCAAACTTTATAATCAAGATCCATAAATATGCAAATAAATGCCCACACAGATCCAGATATAACTTTAGCACTCATCTGTTTGCTTAGTAATTATCTTTATAGCATGAAGCCCACAGCTCAGCTGTGGGTTATGAAGACAAGACAGAACGCATTCTAGACATGTAGGCTGACAGTCAGAACAGTTCAACAGCCATGCTGTCTAGGGATGATGGGAGCTGATGGCCTCTACATCTGGAAAGCACCAGATGTGGAATGTTTGGTCTGAGTACTGACTTTTGGGCCTGTAAGTCCCAAGTTCTATAAAAAAGTAAATCATAATAAATGGCACAACACGAAAGCTACAATCAGAGGCTATGAGTTTCAAGTTCCCACTGTAAAATGGCTTGAGGCCATTAAAGAACCCACAGACCTGAATTTACAAATGCTAAGCAGGGCTGTCTTGGACAGGGCATTTTGGAGGGCTTTCGTTCATAGGGGCACCATAAGTCTAGGATGAGTTGATGGCACATAACCACAATCACAACATGGGAGAAAGTCAAGGTTCAAATTGGGGAATAATTTTGTGAGAAAATTACTTTTGCTCCAGTTCTGGTTAGCACAATCTAGTTTCTGCTTCTCTTTGGTCAAAGGCTCTTTTTGTCTTATATGGAGTAGGAACTGCTTGTTTCTTCTGGTAGATTCGTATTTCACTAGATAGGAAAGTGCTAATGCTTTCAAACATATATTTACATGTTAAAAGACTGGTAGGTTCCACAGGGGCCAACAGACCAGAGTACTTGGCTGAGACTTTGATGGCTGTCAGCTTAGGGTGGGTCAGCACGGATGGCTGGCAAGTTCCAATTCATCCAGCAGCAAAGGGATTCTGTTAGCAGTACTCCACTGCTATTTTTGGGTTAACTCCCTATTCACACACCTCGAGTCCAAACACTAACATGTCTTAACACAAACCCATCTGTATAGATGAATGCGGGTGTGGGCAACACTTGCTGAATATGTGCTGTACTTCACATTTCCACAGTACGTGGATGCTTTGCACTTGTTCTCCTACCTCTGCTAATGCTTCAGCTTCTAGCGATTTCTGATCCCCAAGGCTACTATGTCGAGTTGAGCTGCACGTGGGTCTCAATGGGTGGCCGTCAGTCAATGCCTTCCTGTCTGGATAATTGATGCTGCCAGCACTACCAAAAGTTGCCATCCGGCGCTTCTCTGGGCTTTCGATCCTGCCCCTATTCAGTGGTAAGATGTGGGGGCTGCTGGGACAGGCTGCTGCCCGTGGGGGGGTATCTATTCCAGGACCAATTCCCCTGGGAGGGCTGTGTGTATCTCCCCCACTTCGCCGGCGAGGAATGGCTGCTCCATCCGATCTCAACCTCACCCTGTAAGGAAAAAAAACCAGCATACTTGTGAAATTGTTGGTCCTAGCCTCCTCAGTTATCCAGACAAAAGTGTGTGTGTGTGTGTGGGGAGGGGGTTCTACATGCCCTTTACCAGTTTAATAGTGGCATAAATTGTGCAAACTGGCTCTTACATGCCCTTGAGCCAGCACATCCACGCTTTCTTGGCTGCCACAACAAAGGAAAAAGTGTTTGCATTCAGATGAAAACAAATCAGTTTCCTACCGTCCCATCACTCCCCCAAATCCATAGTCTGGAATATGATCTGTTGGAGACTGGATATCATTCTTTGATGAGGCCTTGTCATCCAGCAGGGGTCCACTGCTTGCTTCGCTATCTGCCTTCTGACTCAGGCTGTCGGAGAACGCATCATCCCTGTGAACATCAAAACCTCTGTCAGCCTGAAGACAGAACAGGATGTCTCATGCCTAAAGAAGGAGACTTGGTTGTTATTTTATACCTGTAATTATGCCCACTGTTGATAGGGATAAGATGGAGCGATGTTTGAGGAGGGAGTGAAGTCTGCAAAGAGCTAATGAAAGAAGACAGCCCAAAGATTTAGAGTTTTCCCTCTGCTGCCTACTTGTACCTTAACTTTATGTATGCCCCTACATGAAAGGAAAGGAACCAAAGAACAACTACCTGTTCAACTGACCTGTCTTCAGTCTTTTTTTTTTTTTAAATTAAGCTGGAGCAGCTGAGGGCTGTAAATGATTTCAGGGGGCTCCCAAAACACAGGTCCAAATTAGTGTAAAAACCTGGACAGCTATATAATTTATTCCAGTCAAGGATTTAAAACTGCTTTTTTAACCTAATCCTTCATAGAACTCGGATTTGGTATTGAGTAAACTACAACCACTACCAATATGAAGAGAAAGTTATTTAGGACAGAAGTAGGAAAACACACTGGGAAAGAGAGAGGCAGAGGGCCAGGAATGTCATTCCTTATACCTATTGGCCAAATCTGGCCATTTGGAGAATGCCTCCTTTCTCCACTGAGCTTTTGTTTGTTTGCTGACTTTTGAATGCGTTTCCCCAATTCTAAAATGTTGAAAAGCATCTCCCAAGGCTAAATTACTGACAGTAAGATCTTTAAGCTGGGTTTGGATTTTATTTCTTTTAATTTTAGGCTGACCCCTTTGCTTTAAGCTGCACCCACCACTGGAATATGGTTCACAAGAACTTCTCAGAAGTAGAATCAGAACTCTGGTAGGAAGAGGTTTGACATCTATGGCCTGAACTAACAAATGCCTTCAAGGATTGCTTTGACAAGGAGGGCTCCTAGCTCTATAAAAGAGAAGGTATCATGCCACTTAAAGAGTTGTTGGCAGTTAGGGAAAGGATAGAAAACATGGGAGGGTTACAAGTATAAGATGTCAATGGCTGGACCCTTCACAAAATTGTGTGCATGAGGGAGAGCAATGGCACCAAAAAAAAAAAAAGGAAGCATCAGAAGAAAAATCTCCGGTCACTATTTGTGGAGGAAGTCCTGTTTCCAAAATCATAAATGACGTGTTGAAAAAACGAATCAAATGGTCTTTTGCAGAGAGGTTCAGCTGCCTCTGCAGACAAGTCTCTGGAATTTTCATATTTTTGGCTGTCAGTAAGCAGAAGTGTGTTCCAGGAGATGGCAGTGACGAGGGAGAGTAGCAAATTGGCTTTACAGCCAAGATTCTCATGGCATGGTACAAAGACAATTAAAGAAAAAATTCTCACTTGATCTTTTTATGGTCCAGGGAACATTTTGCAGCACTTATTTCTCAGAATTCTGATGACATATATAAACAAACCAAACCCCCCAGAAGAGAGGCATTCTGCCAAAGATGATGTAAGCTAATCACTGGCACAGCTTTGGTCCTTCAATCCCACCCAGCTCTACCATCAAAATTTGAAGATCCTATTTTCTAATTCCCTCTAATAGTGATCCATCCCCCAAATCAGTGGTGGATATCTTGCGATCTCCCAGATCTTGTTGGATTCCAGCTCCCATCAGATCTAGTGATCAGGGCTACTCAGAGGTTATGGAAATGTAGACTGACAATAGTGGTAGGATACCAGGTCCTAAATGATTCATGCACACCCAAAAGCCTTAATAAACCCGCAGCTCAGTCTGATTAGGAGGAGGCAAGAGGAGGGCTTTGAATCAAGCAATAGACAGCTTTCTCTCTGCCTGGCAGCTTTGGGATAATATGAGCAGGCTGCTTGTATTCTTGCTCCATTTCTTCCTAAATCTTGAGTTTAACTAGCAGAGGCATTCTCTTCTACTGACTAGTGACTCTATGGCAGAATGTAGTGTGAACCTACTAGAAAATGTTGCTGCTCAGAAACAGAAAATCATCTTGATTTTTCTTCCCTGTGTCATATCAAATAACAACCCCCAAAAGGAAAGGAAAGGAAAGGAAAGGAAAGGAAAGGAAAGGAAAGGAAAGGAAAGGCATTTTTCTAAAGAAGATATGTGAGTTGGAAAATCAGTGCTCTCCACCGTGTGGAGAGCCTCCATGGATGCAATGGGTTCTCCTTTTCAGGAAGTTGGTCTTCATGGAAGGGACATGGTTGGAATGCTCCCTCTCCTGCTAAGGAATGCTAAGGAACACCAGAACATGGTGCAGAATGTTTTTCCTGAAGTACAAGTTGGTAGAAGCATTTTGCAGGGAGGGAGCAAGAAAGAGAGAAATGTAAGTGTGAAACCAACCCCAGTCCCCACATGAAAGAAGCATGAGGTAACACACTGATCTTCAGTTTTTTCCTGCAAATGCAGCCTTCCTTCATACATCTCTTGAATGTAACATGGATAAAAATGAGGAATTCTACAGCAAGTTTCTTGCCACTTACATGTCTTGTACCACTATGTATTGATGCGGTATGAGGCCATCCACACCATTATGGCGACCTTCCCACCAGTCTTCAGATGCTCGATGGTACAAGAGAAGTGAAGCTCCTTTCTTGAAGGACAACTCACGAGGAGACCGGCCAATATAATCAAATTTTGCAATAGCTTCAATCTGTTCTACCTCTATAAAGATGCAGGGTGTGGGGGGGAGAAAAGAGATAGGGAAGCTGTAATCGAAGAGCAACTGAGCACACCCCATGTCATATGGTAAGATTTCCCTGGTTGGATGTGGCCAATGCTGTCTCTTTAACCCAAGGCCATTTTCACTAAGTACTCTCCTCCTTAGGAAAAAATATTTTATGGGGGGTTTGGACATTAATCAGCATACTAGGAAAAAGCTGAAATGTTACATAAAATTTAAGTCCAATTTTCACCCCTACCTTTGGTGAAGATTCCTCTTCCTTCTGTGCTGAGGGACAAGAGACAATTCACTTTAGTGCTATGACCATTCATTTTAGTGCTGGTGTTCTCCACATGTGTTGGTCTACAACACATCTCAGTGCAAGCCAGTACAGCCATTGGTTAAAGATAATGGAAGTTTTCATCCAAAACATCTGGTGGACACCAGCTGGGGGAAGGTAACCTTGGATGTTACATCTCTGAAACTTCAAGAATCTCAATATATTTATTATTTTAATGTTATGTATTGTTATTATCTCTCATTATAGATAAATTAGTATTTTCCCACTTAGGAAAAATGAAATACTAGACTGTAATCATGTCGATGCTCATGGCCAGTCATGAAGGCACCACAACAACTAGATTCACTCTTCTGCTACTGATCCACATGATTTTCAACACAGACCCATTTTGATACACATTTAAGCTGACATACATCTTTGTGTGTGTATAAATGTTTATAAATTCTTCACATCTCAACCAAAATTCTTGGTTTGTATATTTGTTCACCAATTTGTATATTTGTTCACCACTTGGGTATTATCTTTTTTTTCAGTTTGCATTTTGAAAAAAAAAGTATAAGACATAAGCCAAAAGTGACTATGGACACATAGCTTTCTATGGCAATGGTTAGATTCCGTGTTTGAATCATGGACATTCTCCAAACTTTGCCATACAAATGTCTTAAGGCAAAATCACACAAAATGGAAATGAGTTGACTCAAGCTTCAGTGCATGACCAACATTTTTTTTTCAGCAAGCTTGGGAAGGATCCACCTGCACTGCAAGTTCAGAGCATGACCCACCCATACTGGGAATAGGAGGAGGCCAGATGAGGCTGCAGAATATATTCTCAGATCCCCACTGCTAGGGCCTGGTTCTGAAATCATATGTTCTAGGATTCTGACAAAGGGGCCTTGAGATCAGTGAGACTTTTATTACAGCCCCACTGGGACATCATGTGCAGCCATGCCTGCAGGCAAAAGGGCAGAGAAAACAGGTTGATGTAATAAATCTTTTCTCTAGATTCTGCAGGGTCCTTTGATGGTACTACAAAGGTATTCTGCTCCTAGTACTTTTATATCGCATTTTTGTACATGCATTTGCATCCACATCATTATTGTTTTAATTGATCTTCTATTTTTGAAATTCACTTTTTTGCATGCCACCTAGAAGTCTCTACAAAAAAGTTTAAATATATTGGTATCACACTGTTCCTATATATAGAATTGTATCAGCTGTTTTCAGAGCATTCTGAATTCACATGACATCTTCACCGCAGACCTTTTCCCTTCATTCCTGCAATGGAGCTTTCATAATCATGTCACTGGCCCTCTTGTTCAGGCCTGGTTACTCTAACTAGCAGTAAGGACAGATTTCAGAACTGTGGCATTTGGATATCCAAGTATGGAAATCCACAGCCTGTTATAAGCTGAACCTAAAGCCAGATTTAGGTCCGGCTTGCAATGGGTTCCACCCAAACCAGCCAACCTTCCTTGCCAACCTTCATCCCAACCCAAACACCTCTGCCAGCCAAGTTACTCTATCAAGAAGCTGGTAAAATGACAGAGATGGGAGAAACCTCTCCTGGCCTTACCTGGATGTTCACAAGCATGCATTCAGACCAGTTAAGGACAAGCCTTAACAATGGAGGGGCCTCACTCAGTGGCAGAACACTTGTTTTGCAGGGTAAAGGTCCCTGGTTCAAGGCCCAGCAGCTCCAGGGAGGGCTAGAAAGGAATCTCTCTCCTGAAACCTGGACTAAAGCTCTGCCTTGGTACAAGAAAACTTTCCAAAGTCTCCAAGGTCTATCCTGTCTGAAACCAGCCCTTCCTGCCACTGTTTCTCCCACCTCTTCATAATGTTGATACTATGCAATATTTCCTATGTAGTAAGTGAGCTACCAAGAAGGGGGGGATTTCAGGAAGAACTGGGAGCAAGATTCCTTATGTTGAGATTACTTGAGTTTCCTTGGAAAAACATTCAGATACACCAGAAAACTTGGAATAGACTCAGGTATGCTATAGAGACAAAGTATGATGGGGGAGGGGGATTGCCTGCACCTGCACATTTGGGCACATTTCTTTGCATGCGTTTTCTGAAAAGGAGTAGTGAACAATCATTCTAGAAACAGCCCTTCAAGGTTGTTTACCTGATCCCGAGGCTGCAAGTCAAGTCTGTTATTCTGAATCCGCCAGTTTTCGTCAGGCCTACTTAGACTACACAGAAATCCAGACAGTGTTGGCAACCCTGCAACCCAAGGCTACCCTACAAGCAACCTCAGCAAGGCAGAAAAGATGGAATAGTTCAGATGCTTGGCTGCCTACACCCATTCCCTGCACACAACACAGCAGGCAAATCTGCTTGGCCTTACTGATACTCTACAAGCCACTCTTTGGCAGGCTGACTACAGCTCATGTAATGCAAACCACTGGAAGGATCAGTTACCTACAGGAGATCGCTTGAGATAAGGATGGCTCCCTTCGGGACCACTTTCCACATTTGTAAACTGTCTTACCCATGGAGTTATCCACATTTCCATGAAAGCAAGATAAGGGGTTGCTACCCTGCAATAATAGATAACGCGGCCCCCACAACAACCCATATTTCACAGTGGTTTTCCAGATTAATGCAATTCGAGAGACAACTATGCTACTAAGGATGACTCTGAGAAGTGTCCAGCAAATCCTGATAAGAATTTAATCAAAGCAATTTCATTTTTCCTCAGTTCTCAGTTATTTTTATTATCATCATCATCATCCATCATCATTTTAAAAACAGTCTGCAGAATAACATTTGAGGAAGGGCCACAGGTACAACTAAAGTGGGCAAATAGACTTCAGCTGTGTCATATCTGCATTAACACAAGGCGCTTTCCTGAGTAGAGCTGCATTGTTTTGAAGCAGCACCTAATGACAAATGTTTGAATAGTAATGAAATAATCTGGTGTGGTGATAGTTAGTCAGGCTGGAAACAGACCATGGTGATGTTTTAGAGAGATGAAGAAGTATTTGATTCTCACGCACTGTGTCCTTGTGTGTGTGCATGCGTGTGTGCGTGAGAGAAAGTGAGTGTGAGACGGGGGGGGTGGGAGGGGAAGAGTGCACAATATACACTGTTTCTGTCCCTCTGTCACCCCTGATTAAAGAGGTTACATTCTGACCAAATCAGTTTTTCTAGATGCAAAAACATGAGATGTGTGTACTCACTATGAGTGAGATCCTTCTTTCAAACCAATTTTCCACACACACAAAAGAAAGCCTAAGTTGACTTCAAACAAAAAAGAGGGGACAGGTTTGAGAGATATGTGCCTATTAGTCATGATAGCTAAATGAAATCTCCATGGCGAAGAAATTGTATATGACTACTGAATACAGGCAGCAAAAACATGGCATTTACTGTACCACATTGTCTTGCCTACTAACTGCTTGCCCACTGTTCAACCCAGAATGCTGGACCATGAATAGAACCAGGAGAGTAACCACCATAGTAAGACAGCCCTGCTAGATCAGGCCAGTCTGCTGCCTCTGGGAAAGACAGCACCCTCCCATTCATATTCCCTAGCAACTGGCAGTGAGACGCATATTATCCCAGATGCAGGGAGTGATCTATAGCCATCATGGCTACTAGCCATCGATAGCCTTTTGTCTTCTGATATGTGGTCAGGGTCAGAAGATAACCCAAGAACACTATTCAGCCCCCCACCCTTTTCTTCTTTGGTGCAACGGTATTGGGAAAGGCCGCTTAACCTACTGTCAGCCTTCCCAAACTCCATGCCCC